ATCAACTGTAAAATAAATTTGTTTGGACAATGGGGAAATTTGACTATGGACTGGATAGTAAATGATGCTAAAGAATTTTCGTAATTTTCTTAGGTATAATAATGGCATAGTTATTATCTAAGAAAGTGACCATATTTTTCAGAGATACACACTGAAGTAGGGAAGAAATGACATGGTATCTGGGATGTGCTTTAAGATACATAGATTAATGGGCACAAATACGTAGTTTGATAGAAGAAATGAGACCCAATGTTTGACAAATTAGTAGGGTGACTACAGTTTACCATAATGTATTGTACATTTCAAAATAGTTAGAGGAGAATAATTAGAATGTTTCTAGCATAAAGACAAGACAAATATTTAAGGTGATGCAGTTCCCAATTACAATCATTTAATCTTTACAAATTAATGTATTAAAAATATCACATGTATCCCAAAAATATGTATATTATATACCAATAAAGATAATATAATTTTAACATAAATATTTCAGCAAATTGAAAACAGGACAAACAAAGCAAAGTGGACCTGACACCTGCTAGGGTGTTTGTAGGTTCACTGTTTAATTCGCTTTGCATCTTTCTTTTCTTTTTAAGATACTGTGTCATTCTGTCACCCAGGATGTAGTACAGTAGTACAGTCATGGCTCACTGCAGCCTCAACCTCTCGTGCTCAACCAATTCTTGCACCTCAGCCTCCCAAAGTGCTGGGACCGCAGGTACATGGCACCCTACGTGGCATCCCTCTGCATCTGTGTGTGTGCATTTATTTATTTATTTATTTTATTTATTTATTTGAGACCAAGTTTCGCTCTTTCACCGAGGCTGGAGTACAGTGGTGTACACCGCAACTTCCAACCCCGGGTCCAAGCAATCCTCACTGCCTCAGCCTCCCAAGCAGCTGGGATTATAGGCATGTGCCACCATGCCCAGCTAATTTTTTTTATTTTTAGTAGAGATGGGTTTTTGCCATGTTGACCAGGCTAGTCTCAAACTCCTGACCTCAGGTGATCCACCCACCTTGGCCTCCCAAAGTGCTAGGATTACAGGTATGAGCCAGTGCATCTGGCCCTTTGTGTGTGCATTTAAAAGAATTAATTAAGGAAGTTTTCAATTTTCAAATGCATATGATGTATATGGTAGGGACCCTTCTGCTGCTCCCTACACAACTAGGAGGTCAAACTGCATCACAGAGCAACAAGGCAGATCCTCCAGGTTCTGGCTCTTGATATCCCCCACCAGCACCACCTGAGGCCCTTTCCAGTCCAATACACCTGACACAAACTAAACCACTGCAGACCCCTAAGTGCTTTGACCCTGGCATGAGCTATCATGATCATTTAGAACACCCTCCTCTGCCAGAGTCTCTTTTCAATTTCATTCTATCCAGCTGGCATTCTTCTTCTAATCTCAGGCCTAGCTAAACTGCTTCCCTATCTCGGGCAGTCCTGAACTCTACACTCCAACTCCAAGCTGAGCTGCTAACTCACCCACTTATACCACAATACATATCATTAAGTACTTGAAATATTTGCTCTTATCTATCCTAGACTATGAGCTCCTTGAAGGCAACTGTCCTGGGCTAGAGTAGGCATGCTGTAAATGATTACAAAGTAGAGTGAAGAGGCAGGGCAGCCAAGACAGTTTTAGAGACTTTTAAGTAGTTCAAACAAGCCAGCACATGTTGGAGGTGGATGGATGGTTGGTGATGGAGTGGAGAGGGGTATTAGGGTATTATTATCAGGCTAGACCTGAGAAGTACATACAGAAATAAAAAGGAACCAAGAAGATACTCAGTGGTTTTTGAGCAGAGGATTGAACAAGAGAGACATGTCGAGAAAACCCCTTCCGCTAGCATACTTCCACATGGAAGGAGTCCTGGCTTTTCTCCCCACCCTGCTTCCCTTGAAAGTCATGCTTCATTTCACTAGGATCTATCTTTTGGAGAGGGAATGCATTTTGGCCTATGTCCATACCACACTGAGGCTGAGTGCTTCCATGAAAATGCTTTGCCTCTAGAGGGACCTGGAGACATCAAGAATAAATGAGTAGGCCAGGCATGGTTCACACCTGTCATCCCAGTCCTTCAGGAGGCTGAAGCAGGTAGTCAGGAGTTCGAGACCAGCCTGGCCAACATCCTCCATCTCTACTTAAAAAAATACAAAAATTAACCTTGAGTGGTGGTACATGCCTGTAATCCAGCTACTCGGGAGGCTGGGGCACGAGAATCGTTTGAACAGTGGGGAGGTGGAGGTTGCAGTGAGCCAAGATTGCACCACTGCACTCCAGCCTGAGAGAGACTCTGTCTCAAAAAAAAACAAACAAAAAAAAGTAAATGAGTCGCAGAGCCATTTGGCCACAGGTTAAGTCACTTTCCTCAAGGACTTTAACTTATAATAATTAAAGCAACATTTTGAGTTCCATATGCCTGACTCTTGTATCATCAATTAAATAGTTCCAAAGTTTGAAATAAAAGAAAAAGAGAGAGAAAAAAAAAATCAACCTGAAGAAGCTGAAAAGAAAGAAAAAAAAAGTTCAAAATTTGAGAGTGAAAAGGACAAGTATTATTTATTGGCTTCCTGCACCTCCCAACCCAAAAAAAATCCCACAAAAACTTGACTCTGTAATAAGATTAAGCAGTTATACAAAGACTGAACAATGCATATGAAGTATTTAATAGCTGGGACAGTGGGCATGTTGGCTCACACCGGAAATCACAGCACTTTGGGAAGTCAAGGGAGGAGGATCACTTGAGCCCAGGAACTAGAAACCAGTGTAGGCAACAGGGTGAAATCCTGTCTCTACAAAAAAAAAATGCAGAAAATTACCCAAGAGTGGTGGCATGCACCTGTCATCCCAGATACTTGGGAGGTTGAGGTGGGGAGGATGGGTTGAACCTGGGAGGCAGAAGTTGTAGTGAGACGAGACTGTGCCACTGCACTCTACCCTGGGCAACAGAGCAAGACCCTCTCTCAAAAAAGAAAAAAAACAAAAACCATGAAGTATTTGATATACAGTGAGCTCTTGCTATTGCTTAGCTGCTTTTTGTGATTGTGATTGCAACCAGAAACAAGAAAGTCAGGAAGACTGCAAGAGGACAGCATGCACTGCAGGATGAACAAAATGGCTCCAGGCCTTTGTGAAGGAAGAACTGCTAGGTGGCAACTGTGAATTTAAGACACTCTGGTTTCCAGGCTGAAAAAGCCCTCCTTTATGGAAGCTGCCATTAGAAGGCACAGAGAACTGCAATCAGAGGCAATGAGAAGGTAACACAGTAGTTATTAGCTCATTAGCTAGCAACCACAGTGGGATGGAAAGAAGAACATTCACAAGGTAAAAAAGAAGTCTACAAAAACTGTACCCTGAGATTCAGAGAAGGCACTGAGAAAAGTTATATGAGTATTAATAACAAGGAGACAAAACTAGCATTAAAAGACTATTGGCAACACTAGGGAAATGTGAATATGACTGTCAGTACTGCAGCCAACCAAAACAGAAAGCAAATGTGCCAAATGTTAATCATATATATGATGAGTACACATGGGGCTTCGTGATGGTATTCTGTAAGTACTTTAAAAATTTTCCAAAGATTTTTAAGAGATAATTTTTTAAAAACTAAAGGTAAGGGAGTAGGGAATAAAGAGGACCTTCTGCACTGGCTTCTTCTATCTGCCACCACTCACCAAAGGCTGCAACTTGACCCATATAGGCGGTAAGGCTAGGGAGTCAGGGAAGGTCACTTGGGTAGTGTGGCTGCGTATGACATGACTCTGATCACCCAGAGTGGCAGACCCACCAAGAGTCATTCTGCACAAAAGCAGGAATCAGCTTTTGGTGACAACATGTATTTAAGGAGGAAACCTAAACACACGTTCGTATTTATAGCTTTGGGAATGCATCTTGGTCTCCAAAAGGATGCTCTATCAATGTCATACTGGGAGTCTACAGGGCAGTCAAGGCTTGTAAGAAAAGAACCCTTGAATTTTAAGGTAAGAAAGGTCATCTCGGCTGGGTGCAGTGGCTCACACCTGTAATCCAAGCACTTTGGGAGGCTGAGGCAGGTGGATCACCTGAGGTCAGGAGTTTAAGACCAGCCTGACCAACATGGAGAAACCCCATCTGTACTAAAAATACAGAATTAGCTGGGTGTGGTGGCGCATGCCTGTAATCCCAGCTACTGGGGAGGCTGAGGCAGGAGAATCGTTTGAATCTGGGAGGCAGAGGTTGCAGTGAGCCGAGATTGCGCCATTGCACTCCAGCCTGGGCAATAAGAGCCAAAAAAGAAAGGCCATCTCATCTCAAACCCCCAAACGTGGGCTCCAACTGCGGCCATTCTAACCTTTGTGCCACTAAGGCAATGAGGGTCAGAGGAAGAGTTCCCGCCCGTCCCAATTGAAAAGGCTGGGTACAGTGGCTTAGGCTTGTAATCCCAGCACTTTGGGAGGCTGAGGCAGGTGGATCACTTGAGGTCAGGAGTTCAAGACCAGCCTGGTCAACATGGTGAAACCCTGTCTGCACTAAAAATACAAAAATTAGCTGGGTGTGGTGGCATACACCTGTAATACCCGTTACTTGGGAGGTGGAGGCAGGAGAATTGCCTGAACCTGGAAGGCAGAGACTGCAGTAAGCCAAGATCACGCCACTGCACTCCAGCCTGGGTGACAGAGCAAGACTCTGTCTCCAAAAAAAAAAAAAAAGGGCATTGTTTTCCAAGTGGGCTGAGGAGGATCTCCTGCTGTGACTGAGGCTGCACTGATGCAATTCTTGGAATCAGTAGCCACATAGATTAAGAGAAAAGCAACTCCCAGCAAAGAACAAGCTGGGAGAGTGAATGCCATGCAGGCTTTTGTTTGACACAACCACTGCAGGCTAAAGGCACTGACTGAGCATCTCTCCTGCCCTCCTGGACACCTGCAGCACCTCCACCACACAGATCCAGCTCCCCCAGAGGGTGTCTTCCAGGACAGCTCCCCACCCCACACCACTGCCTGGAGCCCATACCTCTGCCAGCTCCCGCTCACTGATACTTCTGGCAGTGCTGCCTTTCTTCCTCGTGCATGGCTCTCCCACGGTGACCCTGCCATCCCCTTTGGCGTAACTGTGCACAGTGAGAATTCCTGTTTGCCCTTGGACTCGGCAGGAGAGAGGCTCACTGGTTTCTGAATCGGAAGAGATGGAATCCCGTGAAGAGCCAGAGCCCAGGCTAGAAGACAATTTCTTTTTGGAACCTGAGAAGACAAAGCGTCCCCCTACAGACGCAGGATTCACAGAAAGATCCAAGGCAGCTGCTTCCTGTTCTTCCTCTTCATCCTCCTCTTCTAGTTTGACGTTTTTGAGTTCTTCAAATTTAACTTCAGTGGAGTCAGAATAATCTGAAATACACATACACATTAGACAGAGCCAAGTTCTTCCTGCATACATGAACCCAATGAAAGGCAGAGTGGCAAAGCACAAGAAACATGGGCTGGGAGTGGGACCTAGCTTCCAATCCTGGCTCTGTCACTGGCAGGGCACTGTGAGCCAGGGCTATCTGCTCAGCCTCCTGGCTCCAGCTTCTTCCTCTATAATGGGAAGATGCTACTATGTATCTACAGGGCTAGTAAATAGGACTCCCAAGCACCGCTTGGCACTCAGCAGACACTCAATAAGGGGGAGCTGCCATTTTCTCCAGTCTCCGGCAGGAAATGCAAGCCTGAGCTCAGCAGAGAAGCTGGCTACCTACTCCAAGCTAGAAAGTCTGAAGATCTTGAAAAGTATTAAGAGGGTGGATGTTAAATGTTCTCACTGCAAAAATGATAACTATGTGAAGTAATGCGTATTTTAATCAGCTAGATTTAACCATTCCACAACATATATATACTACACAAATCATGTTGGGCCAGGAGCAGTGGTTCACAACTGTAATCCCAGCACTTTGGGAGGCCAAGATGGAAGGACTGCTAGAGCCCAGGAGTTGAGACCAGCCTGGGCAACAAAGTGAGACCCTGTCACTATAAAATTTAAAAATTAGCCAGGCATGGTGGCATATGCCTGTAGTCCCAGCTACTTGAGAGGTTGAGGCAAGAGGATTGCTTGAGCCCAGAAGGTTGAGGCTGCAGTGAGCTATGGTCACACCACTGTGATCCAGCGTGGGCAACAGAGCAAGACCCTGTTTCAAAAACAAAAAAATTATGTTGTACATGACAAATGTGCACAATTTTATCTGGCAGTATAAATAAATTAATTTGAGAGGAAAAAAGTAAAGAAAATCTGCTGAAGAGAAGCCAGCCCAGCCCAGGGTCTCAGTCCAAAGTGCTACTACCTGGCTGTCAGCAGACCACATATTTGGGTCATACCTGACCCAAGACAGATACAAGCCTTTCTCTAATCTAGTCTCAATGACCTGATCGAGACCATCCTGGTCAACATGGTGAAACCCCGTCTCTACTAAAAATACAAAAAAATTAGCTGGGCATGGTGGTGCGTGCCTGTACTCCCAGCTACTCAGGAGGCTGAGGCAGGAGAACTGCCTGAACCCAGGAGGCAGAGGTTGCGGTGAGCCGAGATCGCACCATTGCACTCCAGCCTGGGTAACATGAGTGAAACTCCGTCTCAAAAAAAAAAAAAAAAAAATGACCTTCCGAGTAACTGCTGAACAACACTGATCACACCACTACCACTCCCTCTCTTAAAATATAAATGGCTTTCTAAGCTTCCACGTGAGCAAATGAAAATGGCAGGGAGCCCTACAGCATCTCCTATTTCTCCAGCATCACCTCCTGGTCACACAACTGCATTTTACCCTAATATTTAATTGAGGGAAATGCTCCACCAGTTCCCCATGTGGACCATGCTATTAATATTTCCCATCTCTGCTGGGAGCAGTGGCTCATGCCTGTAATCCCAGCACTTTGGGAGACCGAGATAGGCAGATCATGTGAGGTCAGCAATTCAAAATCAGCCTGGACAACATGGTGAAACCCCATCTCTATTAATAATACAAAAAAAAAAAAATTAGCTGGGCATAGTAGCAGGCACCTGTAGTGCTAGCTACTTGGGAGGCTGAGGCAGGAGAATCACTTGAACCCGGAAGGCGGAGGTTGCAGTGAGCCGAGATTGCACCACTGCACTCCAGCCTGCATGACAGAGCAAGACTCCATTTAAAAAAAAAAAAATTTCCCATCTCCAAGCCTGTGCCCTGCTCCTCCCCTCTGGGACGCCCTTTCTATATCCCTCCTCTCTCTCTGTCTGCTGGGAAAGGTCCTACTTACCTTTTAAGAGTCACCTTCACCAAAACCTCCAGTGTTTCCCTGACCCCTGACCAGGCAGAGGGAGGAGCTTTTCCCTATGTGCCCAGTCCACCCTGAACATCCCTACCCAAAGCACTTCTCACACTCTAAGCACGCTACCTGCTCACAGACCTGTCACTCTGCTTTATTTCTGACCTAGCACTCAGTATGACATCTAACATGGGACACATGTGGAGTTAGGGTTGTGGAAAATATACCATAGTCAACTAACCTGGGAAGGCAAGACCATCCTCAACTTGACGCACAGAGCTATGGGTGGGCCTCACGAGGGCGAGGGCAGCCGGGCACTCCGTCATCTCATAGTGCTCAGAACTCAGCTCTTCCTTGGGGAAGAGCTCACTCTGACTCACCTCCTGTGGTATTTCAAGACAAACTCGGTGCCTCTTTGTCCCTATTCGGTGCTTGGCCAGGCTGCAACAGAGAGGGCAAATCTTTTAAGAGCTCACATATACATCCACTTACTCAAACACATTCACACACATCTACACACAGCCCAAAGTGAATGGCCAGAGCCTGTCGGGCCTGGCTCAAAACTCAGGGACACCTCTTACTTGTGTGACCTGAAACAAAGGACTTCACCTCTCTGAGCTTGTTCCATCATCTGGAAAATACAGCTATCACCACCCACCTCAGATTTGTTGTGAGGATTAAGAAATGGTATGCAGAGCAGTTGGCAAAGTGCCCAGCATATGGTAGGTACCAAGGAACAGTCCCTCCTTTCTTTCCCACATGCCCAGGATCAATTCTCCTCAGAGCACAGATCCCCTGGCTCAGCCACCAATGGCACTGCAGGCTTAAATCACGACATCACCAATGCCCTTGAGTCTCATCCACACTACACTTCTTTTTAAAAGACCCTGTCATATGATGAGAAAACATGACTTATCTGGCTCATAGGGAGCCCGACCTTCGTACATACATGCCCTTGGCCCTCATAGAAATGACCCCTTGCTCCAGCAGACTGCATGCCCACTATGGGTGTCTCATTCAGAAAGTGCCTGAATGCTGTGGCTCTCCAGTTTCTGGAACCTTGACCAACAACACTCCCCTTAGCCGGAGCACAAACAGCCTCTTAGAAACAAGTCTCTCCGCAGGTTATGGGACCTACCCAGACATCCCTCCCTCACACAGCCAGTACCAAAGGGCTGCTGGGTTACCTTGTCTTCAAGTCTCCTTCCTCTCCATCCTCCACCCCTTCCATGTCCTCCTCTGGGCACTCCTCGTTGCCAGCCCTTGGAGGCAGTTCACTCTCCTTAAGAAACTCGGCTGCTTCTGGCGTAGGCAGAGTATGGTCAATAACTGTGTTGTCCTTCCCAGCTTTCCAAAGTTTGTACCTTTCTGGCTGAAACTTCCTTACAAACACATCCATGGAGATCTTCACCATGTCCTTTCTACAGGAGCACTGTCATCAGGAACCAGAAGAGCACCAGGTAAGCATGCTTTACTGTTTCCACTCACCCTCACATCCTAGTTCCTCCCTCCACATAGAAACAAGTGCAAGATGATTTATAACCACATTGTTTTGGTCCACAGGCTTGCAGGATGGTTAGGCTCACAGAGGGTGGTTAGGCTCCGCACTTAGGCCCACAGGATGGTTAACAGCCACCTGCCCTTGTTCCCTGTCCAACCCGGGAACATACAAACAAGTCTACTACTACTAGTCAAAGGCTCAGCCCTGCTGCTTCCCTAGAGTAAAGGAAACCCCTAAGAATTTCAACACAGAAATCTCAGAGTGGCTAAGGCAAGAATATTAACGTGTATGGATGTGGTTTTGGTACCTAACAGACTAAAGCACAGAACCTCATTTTATACTTCCCAAATCTGAACACATTTTTAAAACTTCCTTATGAACACACAATGTTAATACTTTGACATACTGCTAGCCCGTCTGTTGCTGAACTCCAGCAGCTTCAAGAAATAGTCTAATCACCAGCCAATGTCTCTAACCAGAATTTGCTCATTTTTGCCATGGTGTTATAGAAAGAAATCAAGCAGACTTACCAGCACAGCTTGCTTGCCATACTCAATCCACCGACGGGTAGCAAAATTGGTAGACTCCGCACAGTTAAAGCCATGGTTGAAGCCGGCATGGTAACCATAAGGGAAAGTGATCATAAACTCTCCGGCCTCTTGAGTCACCTGAACAAGAGCAGGCTTGAAGCAGCTGCTTCAAATGGCAGAAGTCCACAGAACTGGAATTCTGGGCTCCACCACAACTTAGCTGAGCAACAAAGGGTAAGTCATAAAATCCCTGGGGTCCTGCTGTCTTCTACAAAATGCAAAGCCTAGACTTAGCAGATGACAAGACTATAATTAACCATTCCTCCAAATGAGCTTTGTTCAAAGGGATCTGACTCTCCTCTGGCACCAGGAAGGTACAGTGCCCCCCCTTTATTGCCCTTAGAGCAAAGTGTTGCTACATAGTTTGCTTAAGCTTTGGCCCTGTCCTGGTATAATGATTAACTAGAATAAAACTCTGTAAAACAAAGGCCAGAAAGAGTAGTGTCTGTAAGCCTAAGAACTTCTGCAGGTAACATGAGCTCACCTTGTCAAAGGGAATTCCATATTTCTTCAGCATTAACGGGGAAATCAGGGTCATTTTGTGGCGAAGAAATGCCTCACAGCTTTGAGCACTTCCAGGGAAAAAGCCTATTTAATTGAAAGGATATGGGTTAACACAGTGCTCCACACTAGCTCTGCAATCCTGGAATCACTTCACACCTGTGCTTCTCATCTGAATAGTAAACAGGATGAATCACCAATGTGACCTCCAGGGATCCTCATAGCTCCGCATTGTAGAATTCTAAGATTCTACAGTGAGTCTCTGGGCTCACTCCCATGGAGGCATTACATGGGTAATGAAATCCTGTTTGGGAAACCAAGGTCACCCAAGCTGCCTCTGTTCTTATAGAGCTTTGAAACTATTTAGGACCTTTTCTCCAGTCACTTGTACCCCTGTTCTTTCTTCAGTAATGCAGCTATAGTATTATCTACCCAGGCTTTCCTGAAATATGTTCTCTAGATGTACAAATCTATCTAAGTCCACTTAAAGGAAACAAAATTCAGCTTTTTCTTTAACATTTGGGTCTTTAGTGGAAACACCAGTCATACTGGGTCTGGTTCGTTATCCCTGGTCAAAGAAGCACTCCTGCTCAGTAAAACTGAGGCAAAGACAACCAAAGAAGGAATGACCAAGTCGTTGCACAGGAAAAAAGGAAGAAAAAGGCTCTGTCACTGCCCTCTTACAGTACCCAATGTGACTCACCCCCGCCTGCAGGCCTGTGATAGGACCTGCAAGAATCTGACCATGGGGAATGCACATTTTGGTTTAGAGCAAGAAGTACAGCTTGTAGGAGAGTCCGACCCAGCAAACAGGGGAGACACAATACCTTTGGCGAGGCGTTCCAACCGCTTTCCATGCTCAGGTGGAACAGAGTACCTGCAATCACATGAGAGCATCAGAAGCTGCGCAGAGGACAGGTACAGAGGCTAAGGGGCTTGTTCTCATGCTCAAAACACCTTGAAATAGCAGATTTTTAAAAAATTTCCCAAGCACTAGAAAGGAATCTGAAAAAATGAAATATTAGACTGTTTGGCACAGGAGTTAAGAGCCCATAAAGAAGGTGAGTGAATTTATTTCTTTTATATTCATTCATTTAATAAGATGTTTATCAAGTATGCACCATGAGCCTGGATTTATGGTCTACAATATTACTCTCCTTTATAATGTGGTTCATATAACTACATTTTTTTAGAAAAAAGAAAAAAAGTAGGATCTCATTACATAACCTCAATGTTTAAAAATGCTCAGTATTTTTTAAATGCTTGAAGGCCTAACTTGGAGCTGGCTAGAGGAGGAATGGAAAACAAGGTGAAAGATGGATCAGACACTTATGAGACATAGTCCCGTATCTGCTGATGAGCCCATTTTCCCTTCATCTCCCAACAGCTATATCTACTGATTATGCAATCATCAATTACTTCTCTACCCAGTAGGGTGTCTAAACACCACAGAAACTGCTCTTTCTAAAAAATGAAAAGAAAAAAAGAACACCTAGGACTATTTAAAACTTTTAGAAAATTGTTAAACTTTATACTCTGAAACTCACAGTAACTCCATTTTAACCTTTTTAATCTCTTCTAAAAATTATTCCAGACCAGGCGCGGTGGCTCACGTCTACAATCCCAGCACTTTGGGAGGCCAAGGCGGGCAGATCACGAGGTCGGGAGTTCGAGACCATCCTGGCCAACAGAGGTAAACCCTGTCTCTACTAAAAATACAAAAATCAGCCAGGTGTGGTAGCATGCGCCTGTAGTTCCAACTACTTGGGAGGCTGAGGCAGGAGAATCGCTTGAACCTGGGAGGTGGAGGTTGCAATGAGCTGAGACCACACCATTGCACTCCAGCCTGGATAACAGAATGAGACTCCATCTCACACAAAAAATAAAATATTCTACAGTAACAATAAATCCTCCCATTCCAAACAGCTTCATTATAAAACAAAACAGAGGAGAAGAGTTGAGAAAAATGTCACCTAAAGGACTCCGGGATCCATCAGGCAACCCTGCACAGAAGGCTCTGGAGGTCCCACTTCAGAGGACCTAAGAATGAATATGATAACTGAAAAACCTTCTTTTATAAGAGAATTCGAAAGTCCAGGGTCAGGGAATTCTAGAGTAAACAATGGTGAAGACACAAAAGCTACATTTACACATCCTACAAGTCTTGCATTCTGATAAACAAAATAGGACAGTAGTTAGGAGATAATCATAGGCTCAAAAGGTTCTTTCCCCCAAGATTAGAAACTGAAAAGCACTTGAAAGAAGAAAGGAAAAACCCTGAAAAAAAGCATGGCTGAGGATGCTGAAAAAACAAATGAAGGTAGATATGGTTTTCATGACTCCCCATAATGTGTCCCCTGCAGCCTCATCACTCACTTCTCATCATTGTACACAGCACCCCAACTACAGTAGACTTCTCCTAGCTCCCTAAACATACCTTGCTTTTTTTTTTTTTTTTTTTTTGGGCAGGGGACAGAGTCTCTCTCACTCTGCCACCCAGGCTAGACTGCAATGGTGTGATCTCAGCTCACCGGAACCTCCATCTCCTGGGTTCAAGTGATTCTCCTGCCTCAGCCTCCCAAATAGCAGGGATTACAGGCATGGGCCACTGCACCTGGCCTTCATATGCTCTCTTAAACCGGGAGCTCTGCACACGTGGTTCCAACTGCCTGAATACGTTTCCCTCAATCTTCTGCTGCTAAGCCCACCACCATTCCACCCAGTTATGTCCTCATTTTTTGGGTCTCAGTTGTCACCTCTTCCAAAGAAGCCTTCTTTAATCTCACCCTTCTATTTTTCCTATGTGGACCTTAGCACCCACTACTTCCCCTTCAGAGCTGTCCCCATACCATATGATCATCCTCTCACACTTTCTACCTCATGACCAGTCTCCTATTCACTGCTGTTAATCTGCAGCACCTTCATCAAAACGCTGAGACAGTGGCTGCGTACAGTGGCTCATGCCTGTAATCATACCACTCTGGAAGGCCAAAATGGAAGAACTGCTTGAGCCCAGGAGTTTGAGACCCGCCTGGGCAACATGGTGAGACCCCCATCTCTACCCCCCAAAAAAGAAAGGAAAAATCAGCTGGGCATAGTGGTACACGCCTATAATCCCAGCTACTTGGGAGGCTGAAGTGGAAGGATCACTTGAGCCCATGAGGTCAAGGCTGCAGTGAGCCATAATGGTGCCACTGCACTCCAGCTTGGGTGACAGAGAGATCCTGTCACAAAACAGAAAAAAAAAATGCTGAGACTCAAAGATGGGTCAGTGCAGATAGAAGAGAGAGAACCAATGTTTGTCCCACCAACAAGAATAACACCCTGGGCCGGGCACGGTGGCTCAAGCCTGTAATCCCAGCACTTTGGGAGGCCGAGGCGGGTGGATCACGAGGTCAAGAGATCGAGACCATCCTGGTCAACACGGTGAAACCCCGTCTCTACTAAAAATACAAAAAATTAGCTGGGCATGGTGGCGTGTGCCTGTAATCCCAGCTACTCAGGAGGCTGAGGCAGGAGAATTGCCTGAACCCAGGAGGCGGAGGTTGCGGTGAGCCGAGATCGCGCCATTGCACTCCAGCCTGGGTAACAAGAGCGAAACTCCGTCTCAAAAAAAAAAAAAAAGAATAACACCCTGGAGAGCAAGAAGCATGCTGTAATAGCCTCACATCCCCTTGTGTGTTAAGCACACACTGCCTCTCCCCAAGAATTATTTTTTCCATGAGGAAAAGAAAGCAAAGCTTTCTATCATCTGAGGGAGTGACTCTAGTCTTGGAAGTCTGCTGCTAAGAAATGCTTCAGGTCTGTTCAGAAAAAAAATTAGAAAGCAGTGGGATAGAGCCCCATGTCTTTGGGTAACTCTGCCAGCACCCTACTCTCTAAAGCCTCCCTACTAGGCCAAAAACAAAGCGGTCTGAGCACCAGAACTCCAACAGCATCTTAGCACTTGAAAGCGTGTTTAAAGCCAGGCGCGGTGGCTCATGCCTATAATCCTAGCACTTTGGGAGGCCGAGGCAGGTGGATCATGAGGTCAAGAGATTGAGACCATTGTGGTCAACATGGTGAAACCCCATCTCTACTAAAATACAAAAAAAAAAAAAATTTAGTTGGGCATGGTGGCGCACGCCTATAGTCCCAGCTACTCAGGAGGCTGAGGCAGGAGAATTGCTTGAACCCAGCAGGCGGAGGTTGCGGTAAGCTGAGATCGTGCCATTGCACTCCAGCCTGGGTAACAAAAGCAAAACTCCTTCTCAAAAAAAAAAAAAAAAAAAGAGAAAAAAAAAAATGAAAGTGTGTTTAAAACATAAAATCCTACCCCACACCTGAACCGGGGTCTGCACTTTAACACAACCCTGAGGTGTCTCCCCGCACAATGGTCGTGAGTCCGTTCTCTAGCATAGACGCCCAGGGCCAACTGCAGGCAGACTTTACCAGGACTTTGGTTCTCCGAAGTGCAGGTAGTTGATGCTGTAGAGGTCCATGTCTTCAGTGTGCCAAGCAAAGGATGTCTTCCACATGCCAAAGTACAGGTATGGGGTGTTCACACCCTCAATGGTGATCCCACTCTCCTTTTCTACCAAGTCCAGGATTGTTCTCAGCCGGCCGATATTCCACTCATCAATGTGCTAAAAGGCAATCACAGTCCAGGGCAAGTTACATTTGAATGTAAACCAACCACAGTATTCCTCATTCACTTTCACAGCTACCACTGGAATTGACACCATTTACCTTCAAAGTGCAAATACCACTTTGTGAATGATGCTAGTGTAGGAAAGATGAATAAAGAGATGGCGGTCACCTGTTTTAAACCCCAAGAAGAAGAGTTGGAACTGATGCTAAAGAAATTGAGGTCAGGCCGGGCGCGGTGGCTCAAGCCTGTAATCCCAGCACTTTGGGAGGCCGAGGCAGGTGGATCACGAGGTCAAGAGATCGAGACCATCCTGGTCAATATGGTGAAACCCCGTCTCTACTAAAACTACAA